TTTATTAAGTATTATGGTGAATATAAAGAAATAAAAAATACATAAAAAACACATAAAATGCGTGCAGAGTAAACTAAATTAGGCAATGTACCAAGTTAGATTTACTCGGTGGTGTGCGATCATTGTCTTTACGTCTCGGCTTAATTCAGATAAGTGCGGACTGCCGTTAGACAGTGCGGTTTGTTGTTTTCAATTTGACGTTCGGTTTGACTCATTATTTGATTGACAAAGGTTGAGCAATAGTCGCCACAAAGTAACGGTCAATAAGGTAAAATTTAATACTCTTTTTTAGCCTTTGTAATAATTTTTTTATTTATTTCTAGTATTTACCCACAAAATAAAAGATGAGTAAAAAAAGAGGATGCAAATTTAATGAAGAGCTAAGCAGAGAATTTCCATTTATTAAAAGTACCAAAATAGACTATATGGTACGGTGTGATAAACGCAATGCTGAATTTTCGGTCTCACATGGTGGAAAAAACGATATTACTAAACATCTAGCGACAAAGAGGCACAAAAGATTTTTTAATAATGCCGCTTCCTCATCTAAAATGGAACAGTTTTTTCGCAGTGCTAGCTTTAGCAACACGGAAAAACAGCTAGCATTAGCGGAAGGGCTATTTGCTTTCCGCACCATAAACCACAATCAAAGTTTCAGATCAATGGATTGTACGTCGCAAGTGATCAAAACATTATACGACAAAAAATATGCATGTGCAAGGACAAAAACCGAAGCAATTATTTGTAATGTTTTTTCACCATATTCGTTTTCACAATTGCAAAAAGAATTAGAAAAATGCGCATTTATATCCATATATTTTGATGCTTCCAACCGCAAAGATTTAAAATTAATCCCACAGGTGTTAGATTTTTCGATCCAGAAACAGGAATTAAAATTAGAATATTAGATTTTGTTTCATTGCCTGATGAAACTTCACAAATAATTTTTGATTTAATAAGTACTATTTTAAAAAATAATAATTTAAACAATAAAATTATTGCCCATTGTGCTGATAACACTAACGTAAATTTTGGTGGAAAAGCTAGAAGAGGCATCAATAACGTTTTCACGAAACTTAACGAACATTTGAAGCAAAAAAATATTTTAGTAGGTTGTGCAGAGCACATTCTATACCTATACTATTCAAACAGCATCTGACTTACTTCCAGTTGATGTTGAAAATATTTTTGCAAACATTTATTCGTATATTTTTATATATATATTGTGCGTGTTGAAAGTTTGACTAAATTGTAATTCTCATTTCATCCCATTTGTCCCGCTTTGTCTCAATAAAAATGTGGTCACTTTATTCATTAATGAAGATGACTTTAGAAAAAAAAATGCAGTCAAATCCACTTTAGTCTGATGTCGGATTTTTCAAGTGTACTGTCTTCTAGAGCAGTAGTCTCTAATCCTCGGGCTACGGAACGGTACCGGTCAGAGGATAAAATTGTACTGGATCACTCGAAGAACATTAAATTATTTCCATTTTATTTTTTCACTCTCTGTGTTCTATCTCTTAAAGCAGTGTCTTTCGGTGTATTTCTCTCGGGTTTGTACGACTTTCCATTGGCGAGATTTTAATTGGGAGCTGAGAGACATCATTTAAAGTCGTACTAATACCACGCATGACATTTTAGTTTAAAGGGTTCGTACGACTTTCCATTGGCGAGATTTTAATTGGGAGCTGAGAGACATCATTTAAAGTCGTACTAATACCACGCATGACATTTTAGTTTAAAGACAATTAAATTAAAAGTATTAAATTAAAATTATTAAATTAAAGCAATCTAAAATATAATCAATCAATATCCGCTCTTTCTGGTCAGTGGGCTGCAGTAAAATCATCAAATGTTGACCGGTCCGTGACGATAAAAAAGTTGGGGAACACTTAAAGTATTTATAAAAATTCTTCAACTGCATTCATAATTTCTAAAAGTTAGCCTTAAAAGTCTGCTCAACTTGCTAAATATAGCAGTAAAGTAGTTTGTAGAAGTGCCTTATTTAATTCCGAAATAAAAATGTTTAAGATTTGTATTATTTAGGACACTTAAACTAAGGCACATCCACCACAGCTTGTTGTATCCCTAGTGGCTTGGCTATGGAGTTCAATATTCTTCAATTTTGAGGCCAACTACTTGATAGCGAGCATTACGCATAGGACGTCTTTATTTTCTTGACTTGCCGGTATCCATCGATCTCTTAGTAGGCTTTATCTAGCCTCCGGGAACTGAACTTGATTATACATAATGATAGTTCATTACCTTATCCATTGTGCCATAAGGGCTCTTGTTGCTGACAAATATTGTAGCTTCATTTTTTATTTTTGATATGTATTTGCACTTTCTGTAAACTTTCAACATTGTTATAACACATATTATCATAAATTTAAAAATTAGTTATCTCTGATTCAGGATAACTAGACCCTGTTACGATATCGAAATAATAATTCCTATTTAAAATTATAAAACGAGTATAATAATCTGCGAAATGTTTTTTCGGATAGTTTTTTTCAACTGAAATTCTGTTAGGTGTAAACTTATGATGGGCTGTAAATACTATCTATAATACTATTTTAGAATCAAAATTTGTTTGTAATGTATATATATATATATATATATATTGCTTTTTTGAAATTAAATTAACATATTCCCTAGAATTGACCTTAAAATGTAGTAAATATCTTTAAATCCCTGCTCTAATTTGTATGTTTGTTACCGCTAATTGCTGAGTTTTTTTTTTCAGTTTGATTTATAGTCCAGTTCTTTTTTATTGTATTTGTTTGAATTGTCTTATTAAAACGTGAGCAAAGCATTACTCAGATAAAACAATATTGTTTTTAAGAGAGAAAGTTATACTCGTTTAGATCTTCTTAATGTTTCTGCTATCATGTAAGTCATGGAAAGTGTTTGGTAGAAGTCATGGAAAATCATTCAAAGTCATGGATTTAAAAACTCTAGATTTAGTAGATACCCTAGTAACTCCTCTGCCCTGGTTTTAGGTCAATAATTCTCCTTTTAAGACCGCATTTTCGTTGTGTATTATTATATCTGGATTTCTTGATTATAACGATAATAAAAACGGTTTTATTTTATGCAACTTTCAAATTAAAAAACCTGTGTGTTTTTTAAACTTCTTCAATAAAAGATTGAAATAAAAAATGTAAAAATTCTTCTTATTATTCATTACATATTTTTTGTTTCTGAGAAAATGCTTTTGAATTTTGTTTCGAAACATGGTCACTAGGAAAGTACACAGAAAAAAAAATTTAATACTGGTAAAATTACCATACTGCATTGTAATATCATTTCTGGTAAAATAAATCTTAGTTATAAAATATTCTGTTTTAGAAAGCCAGAATATTTGGTATTTAAATCATTCATTTGGTAATTTTTTCTGTTCGCATGGTAACTATTTACAGGAAATTCTGGTTTTTAAAATTTTAGTTTTTATTACCACACTTTCAGTAAAAAAGGCAAAACTAGAAAATAAATTTAGCCGAATAAATGGATTTTATGCCATGCTTTAAAGTATCATGACAAAATTACCAAATTTTATAGCATATTATAAAACCACATACAATTGTTAAATTTATCAAAATCCTTTGTTAAAAATTACCGAGCTTTTTTATGTTCCCATAGAGCAGTGTTTCCCAAACTTATGACATTTGTGTACCCTTTCTAAATTTTTTGTAACGCTGTGTACCACTAATAAAGAAATTAATGTATTTTTTAAAATATGTTTATTTAGAATGGATAATACAATTAAAAATCACAACTGGCTGTTGACACCACTAATTATTAACTGTTAACTCTGCGAACAATAGAAAAATACGTAATCGTAAATTTTCATGACTAGCTTTGTTTTTAAATAAACATTTTTGAAATTTTCGTTGGTTACGAGATATTTCGCATAAGAACGCGTACCCCTGCTAAACTATTCCCGTACCCCTGGGGGTACGCGTACCACACTTTGGGAAACACTGCCATAGAGCCAGAAACACAGTAAATTTTACCATATTCTGATAGTCGGTACCTTACTTTTTCTTCCTCAGTGAAGAATTACCTCCTATATTGATCTCTGTACAAATATTAAATTTGTCTGAAAATTTCTTCCCTTAATGAATAATTTTAAAATTTTGTTGCTGATGGTGAGTCGAACAGGTTTTTGAGAATTCTTTTTTACAACAGTAGATTATTAGCTGATTTACAACCCATCGTATTTTGCGTGCAATATAAAACTTACTTTATCAAAACATTTGTCTAGTTGTATTTTTTGAAAGCCGTAGATTGTGGAGTTGCTGAAAAAGACAAGATAGTGTGACAGCTTTATATCTGGGATACGTATTTATCGTATCTTCTCAGCTAACATGCGATATCGTAGGAAATTTTCCATTTTGTATATACCATATCTTTAAATCACTTAACAGCCTTCCTATTCATAATTTGATTACTTTACCTCAGTGATGAGCGTTTTTCAATATACAAATGATAATATTGTTTTTTTAATCACAGATTAACTGTCTCTTTTATTAGTGATAAGTTACAGTATTATTGCAAGACCGAATGCATTACTTTTTATATGGTGATGATTGCAATGCGTTTTGTAGTGCTTTAGATTGTGAACTTTTAATCACAAGACTAAATACACTGTAAAAATTCCTGCTCAAATTACGGTATAAAGTACCGGCACTTTGATGCATCATTCGTAAAATCCATTTTTAAAATAAAATACTATACCTTCATTTTTGCAGTAACATTTATTTAATTAGAGTGATTCATTGATTTTAAGATAAGTATTATAGTAATAATTGTGGTGTATCATATTTTGTGCACAGTCGCATGTTCCGATAAAATGAATTTTATGGTCAGAAGTACCGGCACCCTTCTGCCTCTCTAGATTTAAAATGTAGCTTTATTTTATCAATATAAGAAGGGAAAAAAATAAACTTAAATAAACTATAAAAGAGAAAACATAATTAAGAATAAGGAACATCATGTAAAAAAGTACAAAATTTTATTTTTCATAATAATTTAAAACATTTACAAAATATGAATAAATAATGATTTTTCATTGTTGATTTTCATGTTTTGGAAAAAGGGAAAGAGATAACAGTTTTTGTATTGTTCAAAGAAATTTTTATGATTTATATGAACACAATCAAGTGAAGAAATCTAAAAGACTTTTACCATAACATAATACCCAATATCTATTAAAATAAATATTAGTAGAAATGACATAATATGCATGGTAGAAACGAAAAATGCTGGGAATTGTTAAGTGTTTCTTAATTTATATAATATCACAAAACATTTTTTCTCTGTTACTAAAACTTTATTCAAACTAAAAAAAAAATCATGTGTCTACTGAGTCTGATTTTTTAAAATTTCTATACATTAAACTTCCGAACTGTTTTTCAATGCAAGTTATACATTCTAGATTTTGTGCATATTTAAATATTAAAAATTTAAACATGGTAGTTCTTTTAACAATGGAGAATTGTTTCAAAACCTTTAAACATTACTTATTTATTTATTTTGCAAGCAAGCAACATTTACCCGTGATAATTTTCTCTTAGAAATAATTAATATAATTCATTTCATAAAAAGTTAACTTAAAAATATCATTTCCCTGTATGCATTCAATTTTATGACGTAACAGCTGAATTTTTATTCTGCCTCTGTTTTTTTTTATAATTTCTCCTTCAATTTAAGCAAAAAAAAATTTTTTTTTTTAAAGATACTTTAGTCATTTGGTATTCAAAAAAATATGTGTTTAATATTTGATATCTTCATTAGCCTTTTTGCAAAAACTTCATGATTATATTTTCTTTTTTAAAATTTTCTACCCAGAAATTTTTTTTATCATGAAATCGGAGCTTGCGTTAAATACATAAAATCTGTTATCAAATATAAATCTGAATCTATATATCTTAACGATGTCTGTTATTTTTTTAAGATCAATGTTATTGAGAAATTACTTTTTAAAAAATCTATATTTTACAATATTAAACTTTTTTTGTAACATTTCGTAAAACAAACTGCTGTTGCATAGTATTTTTTGAATCAAATGAAATTGGAATTCATTTTTAGCGGCAAAATCTGGATTTAAAACAAATTATGCGAGTCGTTAAAAAAAATTCTTTAGTTTTTCCGAAGTATACCTGATTTGACATTTTAAAGCCCAGCTTCAAATCTCACTATATAAATAAGTATAATTTATAATTTCATACAATTGAATACAAACTATGTACAATATAATACAATCGTGGCTCTCAAACATTTTTCAGCTAAATTTTCACGCGTTTTTCATTTTTTTTGTAAAACATAGCTGATATACTTTGATTGCATTTTGTAAATGGTTAACAATTCTAAAAAGACGTAAACAAACAAAAATTAAAATACAAAAATAATAACTACAAAAATACAACAGCAATAATATAACAATATCCGCACCAAACTAATTTAAAATGTACTTTAATCTGCCTTGTAAAAATGCAAACTATACAAAAAAATCATAAAAATTTGACTTTTCAAAAATAAACATGTATTAAACTTAATACATTTCAAAAATGCGAAATGAAGACTTAAAATATAGTCATGTTAAAATAAATTTGTGAATAATAATGTTAAAATAAATTTGTTAATAATAATGTTAAAATAAATTCGTGAATAATTGTGTAGTTTTCACTTGTTATTTAAAATACACACTTGTTATTTAAAAGATATAAAACTGGTGCAGCTAATTTTTTTACAATAAAATTCCATTCTTTTTAAAATTATTTGTTAATTTCTGTTCTTGTAGTTGGAGATAAAAAATAGTTTATCCTTTCATTTTTGTGCTTGGATTGAAAATAAACTTTCGTTTATGTCTTGTTCAATTAATTATTTTTCCATTTAAATGTCAATAATTATTTATGACAAAAACATGTGTCAAATATTTGATTGGCAATTTGCAACTGTTAAATTTAGTCTGAAAAAACAAACTCTCCAATGGTTGTTTGTTTGTAAAATAGCTCAAAATGCATGAATTACTGACCAGAAAGTTTTAATAAATTGATTTTTCACAATCTTTTTATCATAAATATTGAATTAATTTATGACTTTTCATTTAAAAAGTTCGAAATTTTGAGAACTTTTTTTGGAGTAAAATAATGATTATTATCAAAATTATCGAAAATTTGCCAAGTTGATTTCTTAGTTATGATACGGATTTCACTTGGTCTAACAATTGACTTAAGTTAAAGGAAAATAGTAGCCTCTGAAAATTAATTCTTTAAATATAATATGAATTTAAATTTAATTAAGTCGGATGATAAATTGTGGCCCATACACACAATTAAAAATATTAAGGTGGAATAAAAGGATAAAAGAATTTTTAAAATTTTCTTTCCTTTTATTTGAGAGTGTAGCAGACGGGAGTGGCCTATAAAGGAAGCAATGAATTCACAATCATAAGTTTTAAGTTCTGTATAATGCAATGAAATTATTAATAATCATGGAATTTTATCAATATTAAATATTATAGTGATTTAACACTCTTATAATCAGTTTGAGAACCACTTGTTTACATAATAACTAAAGTAAACACTCTAATTCTTTCACCATGACAAGTAAATAAATTTCAACGTTTTCCCAATATTCTTACAATTTACGTTAAATCAATTTATAAATTTTCTTACATAATTTAACATGCATTAACAAGATAATATATAAGAATTGCTCTACTTTATCGTAGTTCCTGAGAATTTCTATTTGTAGCAACTTGGAAAAGTTTTCTAAACTACATATTTACCCACATCATTATTGCATGGTTGAAACCCGTGACAAAACCCGTTTTTTTCAAACACTGTAAAACTTGTATTTTATTCCACCCCATAATCTTTAATCAATATACTGAAAAATAAATCTAGCTTACAAAAGATTTCCGTAAATTTTGCCCAAATTTTAGAAAAGAGAGACTGAAAAACTAAATAAAAGATTTCGCATATTTAATTCAATAAATTTATAATAGGATATTTTAAATTATTTATTCAGCAAAAAGCAGACATAATTACTAAAACCATAGTCAACACCTAATTATTTATAGAATACAAGCATTAATATAAACAGTACTTTCAATAATGAACTAAGCTTCTATATAGGGTTAATTTTCATAAATAAAGATTACTAATCTACCATCTAAGCACCCGTTATATATTTAACAGATTTGTACATGATCAAAAGTGATCAGTATTTTAAAATACATATGCATCAGTGGCGTACTCATTTCTTGGACTTTCCATAAGAATAAAAAAATAATTGATGCAAAAATGTAAGTATTTTTTTAAAGAAAATATATTAATGATTAAAATTGTATAGTGATTTTATTATCTCAATTAATCAAAGAATTGTAAAGTAAGGAAGAAAAAAGGTTTTTTGTTTATGATAATAATTTTAATAAAATACCCAATTACTTATTTATTTAGCACAAAAAAGTTAGTATTAAGGATAATAAAATGAAAATCAGATCTTTAAAGGGTTGTTAATGGTTCTAAATGAATTATTTGGGAAAATATTTGAATAATTTAATTGGTAAATATGTAAATAATAAAAAAAAAATTTATTTTCAAAAACTTTTAGAATTACATATTTTTTACCTGGCTCTTTGATTTAAGCATATATATTCTTATTTTTATTTATAACTTTGAATAAAGTATGAAGTCTTTTACCACATTTTTTCAATCATAACTAAAATTACAGGTGGGTCATGTTTTTATTAAAACAATGAAACTGCAGTGGTAAACCTTGCGTACGCCTCTGATGTACATGCGCACAAAAGCATGTATACACTTATATAAATATAATTTCGCTTTCAAACTATTAAAATAAAACACAAATTATTGCAACATTTCTCACAAATAAATGTCCTGAGTAACAATATTTTTTTTTCTCACAACAACAGCATTTGTTTCAGAATTTTTTGTATATCACCGAAATACCTTTTCACTTGCCTCCTCCGAGGTTTTTTCAATACACTTTCAGTCCATAGCTATATACGGCGTAGAATAATAGTTATATCGTTTTTCATATGAGAGTTGGTACAGGAAGAAAGAGCTCAAATGCAAAGAGAGTTAAGAGAGAATACCGCTGGACAGAATATCATCAAGACTAGATGAAGTTGATAGAGATCTATAAGCACGGCAGTAGATTTTTTCTTGATCCTAACCAAACTTTCACTCCTGGAAGGCGATATTGATTAGATTTCGTCAATTGGAACCATTGACTGACACCCCATCACCGCTTATGCAGATTGAGCTTTATTGGTACTTCTGGAGTTGTGATTAATCTCAGTGCTATTCCAACGTCCTGTTCATTCGCAGATTCCAGATGAAATCGTTGTACCACCTAAATAAGGAAGAAAAACGAAACATAAGCTAACTTAAAGAAGTTGAGAAAGAAGTAAGAGGAAGCGTTAAAGTGACGGGAAAACTGTTTTTAAAAATGTGGTATGACGTTTTTGTTTAAACAAAGATATTTTTTAATATCAGCTACTAATTTAGTTTTGAAAAAAAGTGCAATTGAATGATTTAAGTTTGATATAAAGACATTTATAATAATAACACATTTTGGTGCACATGTACGTCTTAATTTTGTAAAATAAAAGCTAAAAATTAAATGAATTGAATATAATTAAACTTAATATGAATATATATATGAAATACGTATGAAATATAATTAAACTTTTTCTATATTTTCTAAAGCTATTGTTCCAAAAAAAACATTAAACTGTCCCAGAACATTATTCCTTTGAATTCTTAATTATTTGTGAATATAATGTGGATTTTATTGTTTAACTGGTTCATTTTAAAAAATTTTTAAAAATCTATTTAACTTTTAACCTGTCATTCTTTAATTTATTTAAAAATATGTTTTTCAGTTACGATTTCTGAAATATTTTTTTTCGTTAATACAAAAAAAAAATTCCTTTCAAAATATTAATTAGCTATATCAAACAGAAAAAAACCTCTAATATGCCTGATTTTAAGCAAAAACTGCAATTAATTTGATGTTATTAAGAGTAAGTAAAGAATACAATTTTCTGGTAAACTGTTTAAGAAACTACCCATTTTCGAAAACGATTATTTCTTATAGTAGATATGGTATAAAAAGTTGACGACTTCTATGGCAAAACATTTTATATTCTAAATATAGAAATGATAATATTAAAAAGCTCAAAATCATGTGTTATTTATTTGTTTATTATTTTTTTTGCATAAAAGATTTCAGTACACCTGTATTTATAGAATAAAGTCAGCAAAAAAAAAAGCAACAAATAACAAGAAACTTTAAGTTCAACTCCTTTTTTCCAACGTTCTTTTTAAGAAAATAAAGTGATTTTTTTTAGTCCGGTGTTTTGAAATGTTCTTCATGAAAAGTCGAAATTAGATGCAGAAATGCAAAGTTATTTTTAAAACATTACGCAAATATAGTTTCAAAATGCTCCTACCCTTGTTAACAGTAGACGCATCTTCAATTCAGCCACACGTCGACCGATGCACGCACGTGCACCGATGCCAAATGGCATACAACAATGTGCTGTTTGTTCGCTACGTGGGCCTGTACGAGTCCATCGATCTGGCTTGAACTCATGTGGTTCAGGAAATCTAATAGGATCTCTTCCAACAGTGTACTGGGACATCACGAATAGTTTCTGAAAACAAAAAACATTTTTAACTAAACAGAAATATACATTTTTAGCAAAACTGAATCAACCAAATTATAGATCATAAAAATAACAAAATAAAATTGTAAAACGCATGTAAAAATTATAAAGAATATTAGTAATGCTTAATGTAAATATAATATATACATAAGCATTTCAAAGAATTATGTAACGAAAGGAAATTGTCTTTTTGTGACTTTTACAGTGAATTCTCGTCTTTGTTAGTAATCTTATCTTTTCGATTAATTTTAGGAAATTCAATTAAGGAATTTCATTATAATTCGTATGTAAGATAATTAAACCATTAATCTTACCCCAGCAGGAATTTCGTAGTTGTCCAATATTATTTTCTTAGGTAATCTTCTTGTTAGGAAGGAGGCTATTGGGTACATTCTAAAGAGAAATAAGAAATAAATATTATAGACACATTTTGTAAAATTAATTCTAAAAACTCTTCAAAACTTGCTTTCTTTAGAAGCAACATACAGATTCTTGTCTCGAAAACGAAGAATCAAAAGACGCATTTTTTAGATATTTTAAAAAATAAATATGCTCGCTACATTAATGCTTTAGCTATTGTTTGTTATGCATAAAACTTTAAATGACCAGTATGAAAATCGTTTCCTTTTTTAAAATTTTTTAGACTATATTTACTTTGAACAGATAAAGATAATATTTTTAAACTCTAAACAAAAATAATTTTCTAATATCTAAAAAAATAGATCGCAAACGCTTATTATTTTCACTAAACTTTGAGTTCTCGAAGAATTTATAGTTTATTCAATTTTTATGATAAGCATAGAGGATGTTGGCTTAAAACAGACAAAACTTAACCTGAAACTGTTATTGTTTTATAATACAACAGTTTTTAAAATTGCATATGTTTTACGAAATTTGTTTTATTTCATATGAGAACAGAGTTTTCAAGGAACAGTCTTAATATTAGAACTATAAATTATATGTTCATTTTATTCAGATGTTAGTACTTACCGTAATGTTTCCTTGATGACATTCATTGAATAAGGTATTTTAGACAAATGTTCTTCAGTAATCATTTCACCATCTGGTACAGCAGCCTTGATTTCAGAGAGTAGTTTATCTTGGCATTCAGGATGTTTTGCCAAGGAATATAACGCCCATTGTGTTGCATGGGAAGTCTATAAGTAGATAAAAATTGGTATAGTAAAAGACACCTTTTTTTCGTGCGCATGGTTATTAAATTCATGAGCAATTCATTGTAATTAATGATTATTTTTTAAGTCATTTAGATGAAATACCTGTTACCTGCAATTTCATAAAAAGGAAAAAAAAATGTGGGAAATTTATTATTGTATAATTTTTTTTTCTTCGCTACCATACAGACATACATATACTTCAATTCTCATTTGTTTAACACTGAAAGCTTTTTTTAAAGGAAATTTGACAAAACACGTTTTGTTATGCGGTTTGTAATCGCATTTTTAAAAAAAAAAACACATACACGCGCACGTACACACAATTATGAAATTTTGCGCCAGGCTACTCATTTAAAATGCATTACGATAAGATGAGAAAATAGAAAAATGGCGATTTTCGGACAAAATTGTATATTTTCTTTAAAATTTTGCTATGTTTTACCAGCGGGAACGACTAATCGGGTTCCCTATATTTTATTAGACTTATTTACATCATAATTAGTGCAAAATAATAATAAAAATCAGCACATTAGATGGCATAAATTAGGAAATTGAGCATATTAATTGTAATTAATGATATGAAATTTGTCCTGAAAGTTTTTTCAATAGATATCTCATTTGCTTGCTAGTTCTGAAAGAGAAAAAAAATTGCATGTGTTTTGAAACTTCTTTAATATGATGAGCAAATTAATTTTCAAGCTATTTAAAACATTAATTGTATCAAAATACAAAATTTCTTTCAAAATTAAAAATTTTTTCATCAATATTTCAACTGTAATCACGTGGATTTTTTTTTATTTATTACCAATTAGTATTTTCGTTAAAAATATTTGTAGCTAAATTATATGCTCAAATCAAAAAATTAAGTACTTAAAAATATCTTACCGTATCAGCTGCAGCTAAAATCAAATCTGCGACAATATTGACTATTTCATTTTTATCCATAGTTGAGTCTTCAAGCATTTTACTGAGCACGCCTCGCACTTCCTGTCCTCCTTCTCTCAACTGCTCAATCTCCGAAATTCTTTCTTCCACGTAAAAACGAGCTGTAAAAAAAAGATACAAATTAATTAAATCTGACACACAAAAATTGAATTCGCTAACAATTTAAAAAAAAGAATAAAACTGTTAATAACTTTAAAAATTATATAAAAAGTAGTTTTTTTCTCTTAATTAGAATGCAAATATTTGGTGGTTAAAATGCTAACAATAATTTTAAGTATGAATTTTTTTATTAAAAGAAATTGAAATTTAAAGAATTGAAAATTGTTAATGTAAAGGCATAATATTTTTAGTTGTATAAAAATTAAGAAAAAATACTGTTTTATTCGAACATTTTAAATTTTAAAATTTTAATAAATGCCTAAAGAAAGTTATGAGAAAAATTTTCTTAATTTATCGGATGATTCAAAAATACAAGCATTTCAAAGAAATAGATGTAATTCCTTACAAAGTATCAAAATTTTATTAAGTTGAAGCAGCGTAAATAGTATCGTCTAATTACTTACACATTGCTATTGCTTGATCAGCAGCATTAACAAATCTCCGCCAAACAGGTAAATTCCACTTAGAAGCTAATTTTGGTGAAATCAAGGACATATTAGCAGATTCTGTGAATATTTGCTGTACATGATGAACGAATTCGTGCATATTACTGGTCTCCGCTGCTGGTGTTACACAGCCTAATCTTCTTCCAAAAAGCATTGACCCTAGACCTAAAATAATGATGTACAAAATGTAACTATTTTATTAAATAAATTGCAAACAAATGATGTTTCTCAGTATAATTCGTATTAATAAAAAGTAAGACTCAATAAAACTTTAAAACTTATGATGTAAATGTGATTTTGTAATTACGAATTTGGTATATTCTTCTTGAAAATTTTTGTTTCCAATTCATTTGATTAAATCACGTATTAGAGAACTCACATTTGCAGACAAAATGAAGTGAATTATGTCTATGAACTCATTAGTGAAGAGCGACTATTTTATTTTTAGCTTTTTACATAACAGTTTTCGTTTAAAATTCATTTAATAAAAACTTTTTTAAGCACAAAGTGAAATTAATATAAGATAAAAATATAAACTTTGCATTTTCTTTTGTAATTTTGTTAATTATATTAGGTGATTTGCAATTATAAACTACATGAAGTAAAAATAAGCATATGCTTAAGTTTTAAAATAAACCGTGATTGTCCAACTTTTTATGTTTTTTTTAATATGTCATTTATTTTTTTGTTTTTTACTCAATTATTCAAATAAAATTAAGTGAAATAAATACATGAACTCATCAATTGAATATAAATGTCGTCGTAATAAAGTGATTGGCTGCCAACTTTTCCCTGTTACGTAAAAAATCTGAATAACCTAACATAAAAAATATAATTAAAATCATACACAATTTTTTACGGATAAAATGAAGCAAATATCTATGCTCAACTACTTAAAATAAGATTTTGAACATGTACCTTTACTATTATTTTTATACCAATTACTGTTTAAAGCAATGTCCTTTTGAATCTTAATATTATTATTCAATAATATTTCATTGAATTTAAAAAAGAATAAATAAAATAAAATATGTAATTTTAAGTTAAATCAAGATGTAGCATAAAAATAAATAAAATTTCAATGAAGCAAAATTATTATTTTTGGTTTTGATTTCTTATTGTTTTTAATGTTATGTTATTATTGATTGGAAAGGTAACGCAAGAATGGTAAAAGAATTAAGTCATAAAAAATTAATTTCCTCCCAAGTTCTGACAAAAAACAGTCAAAGTGTCATAATATTATTAGAGACAATAAGTCATATTCATTACCAGGAATATTTAATTAAAATTATAAGGAAAGTAATTGAGTAATTACAACTAAAATGTATAGAAATTATTTTATTCTAATGAATAATTTTAACATTAATTCAAATGAAAATCTCTGTTTCTTAATACTTTCTCTTTTACTATTTCATGAGTCTATTTCATGGTCTTGGAAACAAATTAATTCAAATAAACACACATAGCTGTTATAATCTGTAGTAAAATTCTTAGTATGAAAGCAATTAGTTAGCGATTAGGGAAACTTTTGTTGCCGCCTTAATAAATCTAATTGACATTACATACGTTAAGAAATTTAAGAATATGTATACAAGAATTCATTGTTTTATTTTTATCTTCTTTCTAAATTAAGTAAGTAGAGCAGAAGGTTATGAACTAACAAATAGTTAATACGCGAGAGGTTATGGTGAATCTTTTCATATCACCAAGGCCACGGCCTTCCAACGCCCCTGCTGACATTGACATAGTTAAAACTTTCATCAACACCAAATCTGTGTCACGGGTAAGGCTCTTTTAATCGGTAATCACTCTATCTAAATCAGTCTAATTACTCTGTTTAAAGCATTTTTTCACGTGACGTTTGTAAAGATGAGTAAAAACGTGACAGAATACTTTTTTTTGTTACATAATATCAGATTAATACAATGACGTTCGTGATTTTTCGTTTTAAAAACTGTTTTGTTAAAAGCTACATTTGCACGTAGTATTTTTAAAAGCAATGAAATCTAAAATTGTGTTTTGAATATTTTGAAAAAAATGTGAAAGAAAGGAAACAAACTGAATTTTTAAAAAAAATGGTGATTTTGAAATACTTTTCTAATTTTTTAATTTTTGACTTTTGTTGTTGGTTTATTGTTCTATGTATTAATACTTTTTAGGGAACAAAACGGCGAAGTGTTCAAATTATGTAACAATAAAAACAAAGAGATTATGCTAATGACATTGTATTTTCTTTTTAATAGATATGTAAACAAAGCTTAAAAGTAAAGCGTAGCCACTATTTAAGCAAAATAAAAGCAATGAGACAAAAAGGACAATAATTTTTTATAGTTTATTTAATTACCTTACTGATTGCGAAAATGTAACTTGATACTAAAAATGTCTTTTTTTAAAAACTTTTAATGTCTATTTATTAAAATTTTTATGTTTTGACAAGTGAAAATGATATATATAATGTAATAATACTAAAATTATAACAAAAACATTTGTGGATATTTGTTTCGAACATGGAAAGAAAATGTTTGAATTATATTCACGTAAAATAAATTAACCATTCACTTTTCACTCACTTTTCATTATTAAAATTACTTTACATAAAATCGACGAAAAATGTCACATGAACTTTAAGAAAATATTTAAATCGAGTTTTTAGGCCCTTTCTAATCTTTTGTTGCTGAGATCGATGATTTAAAATACAAGTTCAGTAATCAATTTAATAATCAGTACTTTTACATCTTTTTCTCAATTTATAGGAAACAAAATCATTTTTTAGTAAAAAATATAAGTTCAATTATTATTTTATAAAATTTATTTATGTTTTTTCTTATATTTTTTTAATTCAATAAACATTAATTTAGTTTACGCTTTATGAAAATTTTCAAATGCAATGAAATTACCACGTTTAAAAATTAGCAATAATGATAAATTGTTTGATAGTGAAATAATATGTTCGCGGAATTATTATTCCTTAATTACGATACTTATGATGCTGCCAAAAAGCGTGTATTTAAAGTTATAATGTAGCCTATACCGTATCCAGAATTGCGGAAGCAAATGAGTTTCACGGAACGTGCTGTTTTCGTATACATTATTTTTGTTGTACCTGCCTCATACCCATTAATAACGGGTTAAACTCCTTTGATAAGAAGAAGAAAATGTTATTTCTTCTACACCCGAGGCAATTGGCATTATACGAGGACAGAAACTTAAGTATTACGGAAGCAAAAAGTATGCTGACCTTCTTGAATAAGTTTCGGTTTTATTAGGGCGACACCTGGTGGATTTTAGAAAGCTAGTGGTAATTTGAATGCTAACTGGAGAGGTTATTTATTTATGCGCATCGAAATTCGTCATTGTGTCATTTTATTTAAGAGGAATAAAAGGTCATGATATTTTTTTTCATAAAAAGTTTTTCTTCTATTTATTAATAATTATGTTTTTGTTTGAGATAAATAAAAGGACACCTAGATAATATTTGATTTACATTGATTGATAAGTATATAGATTTAAGAGGCAGCAAAGCTAATAGTATTATTAATTTAACTAGACGATTCTGAACAATTGTTTTTTGTACGCTTGTAAAAAAAGTGACATAATGAAACAAAAATCTGATTTTGGAGAGTAAGTAAAAGTCAACTTTAAAAAGCAATTTTTTGTTAATAAATAACAAATTAAAAACATGCAATGAAGTAATATTTCTTTAACTAATGAGTTGAAAATAAATCTGTACAAGAAATAAAAATTCTTTTGCACAATATCCTGCTAGAAAAAGCAATTACAAGAAAACAATTCCTTAAAATTACTCACACAAATAGTAAACTAGTAGTTTCCTAGTATACATCTTAATAAGCGTAAATCTTAATAGTCAATGTTGTTAACTTATAAAAATATTTAAATTTTTTTTTATCAAAGAAAAAAGTGTTCTTTTTATAAAAAAATCATCGTAAAAACTACCGTTCATATTTGTCCTTTTTGCTTCTTCAATCAAATCCGAATGCATTAGAAAACGTAAACTTTTAAGATGAATTATTTAAAAATAATGCGGAGTACATAAAAGTAAAAACTTAACAAAAATAAAATAAACTATCAGTCGAATAATGTAATGCTATGTAATCATTTTTACTAAATTTAATTAAAATATGATATTATGCTGTTTATTGTCAGAGAGGCAAAATATTTTTTCACTGTAATATATATATATTTTTCGCAGTTCTTAAAGTAATGATTTGTTAAAATAATTATTTTTAGTTTAGCAAGTATTTCACAAAATAAAAAATTTAAATGAAGTATCAACTATAATTTTATATGAGAAGACAATAGAAACTCTTAATTGTTACACGAAATACCAATGCCAAAAAAATTCAAACCCTAAGTGTATAAATTTAATACAATCCGAAATATCAAAGTGTCTTACTTTCCATTGACCAACTGTAAAGCTCGTTCTCCATATTCGGAATAAACCCTCCACTATTTTGTTCCATTAATCCTTCCCAACGAGAAATAAGATCAGTTATAACACCGTTGAAATCTGGACCATGCTTCGCAACTTCTTGTGGTGCCATCAGAGTGTGATTTAACAGATTTCTCCTACTTTTCCAGTGTTCGCCATCCCTAAAATATTTTCAGATCAATTAAATAATATTATTTATAAAATTTAAAATATGAACATGATGAAAAAATTTAAAATATGAACATAATGAAAAAATTTAAAATGAACAATACATTAAATTAATGTTTTACAAATTAATACCAAATATTTAATTAATATTAAAATACGAAAAACTTAATTTTTTAAAATTAAATTTTAAAGCAATTAATAGTTTTCAACTTTACTTATTTTATATTACTTATTACCGAAGTTAAATTATAATTTTAATTATATTTTTAACAAAATTAAAAATTTTCCACAAAACAAAATTATTTCTGTAATGTTTTCTGTTCTTTGCATCTTCAAAATTTTTTTAATAAAAATACACAATAGTCATCATCAAATATATTTTAATAAACAAGTTTAAAATAATAAAATATAATTATTGATTTAATTATTAATAATTAGTTATCTTAATTAAACCATCATATACTAATAAATAACTGTAGCTTACATTTAAGTTACATAATATCATACTTTAACACGTTTTTTTTTTTTTTTTTTTTTTTTTTNTTTTTTTTTTTTTTTTTTTTTTTTTTTTTTTAACTTTTTATAACTGAAATGAACAAATAGATATTACAATTTAAAAATGCAAGTTGGAAATTCTAAAACATCAATTCAGGAATTATTTCATTTTCACGTTAAGAAAAATTGTTTTTTGATTTTCAAACTTAACGTAGGTCGGAAATGTATGTTTATGGCAATACTATTAAATTCTTTATTTCTTTAATTTTTCTTTAATTTTTTTGCATTGCAAAGCTATTAATTACTTTTATTATTACCTAAACAATACTTTTTCCATTCGTATGTGATACTTGCCTCTTGAATAGACACTTTTTGTAAAGTTGTGATAAATATTTTCGAAAAAATAAATAAGTGACTAATGAAATATTTTTTTAATTATAACATACTTGTAAACAAAGGATCCGTGAAGTTAACTGAATTTCTTTTTCATTGACTCAAACTTTAGATTACAATTTTTACGAAAAAGAATAAATGACTGATGAAATTTTTTCATTGATTTAAACTTTTGATATCATTTTTCAAAAATAAATAAATATCTAGTGAAAATGTATTAAATTAATGCAAGAAAACATGTTTCCTATTACTATTAAATATTGCATTGACATTTAGAAACAAGCAATATGCGAACGCTCATAATTGTGTGTCACTATTAAAACTATATCTCTTTTTATTTATAAATTTTTTGCCAATTAATAAAAAGAGATGACCTATCCCGAGTCTAATAACGCCAGGGAAGAATTTTGTCTAGCATTATTTTACATTATTTTATTGACCAGACATCATTTTTGAACTTATGGAGAATTTCCTTAATGTGCGCCGCATTCAGTACGACCATTTTGCAGACAAACTTTTGTAGAAAAAATGGGAAAAGAAATGAAAACTTTTTTTTAAACAATGTCTTCGTAATTTTGTTACTTACAGAATGCCGATTTTTAAGAGTTTCTTAACAGTAAAAGAAAAGATAAAACGTTATCTTCTGAAATATATTGAAGTACTTACATAAAGAATAATCCTCGTGTGATTCCTCGGAGTACATTATAAATCTGCCAGGGTTCAGGCACAAGATGTTCAGGAAAACGTCCTTCTGCGAGATAGACTTTCTGGATTAGATCTTTACCCGAAATAATGACACATTCTACGGGACCCAGTTTCTCTCTAAAAATGGGTCCCAACTCCTTATGGCGCATATCACAATATTCATGAATTTTGGCTGCTCCTCCAGTCCTAATGATATCAAAAATAGTGCCTATTAATGGGAGTCCTTTTGGAGTAGGAATAGCCTCAAAGGGCTTAATTCCTGTCCGCACATCGGCTGTCTCCTGCCGTTGATGAAACGGGCAACCCGCCGCCGCCGCCGAAGCGGTCGCCGCTGAAGAGCTTCTACTTCTAGTCACGGCCCGTAAGCCTTGGAAAATGAGCCTGTGAGGCATCTTTTGGGATGCAAGCGGATGCTGCTCTGACTGTAGAAAGATAGGGCCTCGGCCGAATCGTCGTTATATTAGAAAGCGTCGAGAGAAAAAGAGGGGTAGGAGAGGGGCGGGTGGTGGTGGAGCTTTTTAAATAAAAAAAAAAGCTTCAGAGAGTTAAGAAACGTGAAATTAAGAATAGTAAAGGCATGTGGGTCTTGAAATCGCGAGTACTCCACTCTTATATATATATTGTAACATTGCCTCGGGACATTAATGATGCATTTATTTTTAAGCGCTTTCGCTTTCTCATTGGTCGAATATAATGTCCACTAAAAATTCTTTAAGATATAACCAGAAACTCAGATTTGCTGGTTTGACTAAATGTTTAATTTTTATTTATTTTTTTATTTTATTTTCTTCTATTGGTACTCGCCAGACCATTTTATTGTTTCAAGGCACGTAGCGTGAGAAAAAAAATCTTCAAAATATTTATAAGTGATGAAGTTGGGTATGAAGGGTAAAACAGGTATAATGATCAGGGAGAAAAACAATTTTGTCCCCCCTTCTATTGCCATGAGTGCTGAAAAGTTGTATACGTTAGGGAAAAGAAATATCGGCCGAATCAGACCGAATGGTTTTGAAATATGTTTTCTTTACATTCACGTATATATTTTGAAAATTAGAAGAAAAAAAAACTTTAAAAAAAATGACTTCTGAGTGTCTATATGTTTGTTTTAAGTAATATCAGTTTAAATATAAATTGCTGTTATTTAAAGTCACAGTTATTTAAAGCGATTCATTGATTGGAAGGTTATAAATATTACGATGCGACGAGCAAATTAAAAAGTAATAAAAACACAACTTGCCTGAGTTATAGAACGAAGGAAAATGAATTTTAATGAAATTAATTGAGAAAAACGACTATGCAATATTTCTATGCATTACCGAAATAATTGTTTCTGCAATCGAGGCATTCAAATAAAAAAGTTGATTTTTGGAATATTTATTCCTGTAAAATTTAAATAAATTTTGCTGACTCCAGGTAAAATATCAAAAAAAAATTTAAATCCACATGAAGCAGAAATAAAATAACTATAACAAAGGAAATTTTTTTCATGATAATTGTAAAAATACCCAAAGAATTACTGTCAAATGCAATATTCAAATTTTTAATGAACTTTGAGTCATGATTGTCCCTTATCATTATCAAATAAATTCTCAATAAAATTGCGAAAATATTTAAAGAATTAGTGTCAAAATTTGTTAATAAATTTTTAATCAGTACAATCTTTTATCAATAAATAGCTTATTTTTGATAAACCTTTCGCAAATTTGTTTAACTTATTGATTAAGATTCTCAAGAGGCAGAAAGCAACTGATTAAATGCAAAAAAAAATTCTTTTTATCCTTAAACAGTTTTAAATAGAGTATTCTTTCCAGCACATTGAGGAAAAAAGTATGGTCAAAATTGCAAGAATATAGTAAAAATTACTGTGCTTCAGTTTTTACAGGAACACCAAAAAGCTCGGTGTTTCTTACCGGAGAGCTTTGATAATGATTTTGATAAAATTAACAATAAAATATGGTTTTATAATCTGTGACAAAATTTGATAAATGTGGTAAAATTTTTATTGTGATACCTTGGAACATGGTATAAAAGCCTTTTATTCGATTAAACTTATTTTTCAGTCTTGTATTTTTTACTAAAGGTATGGTAATAATAACTATAATTTTGAAAGCCAAATTTCTGGCAAACCGTTACTGTATGAACTGAAAAATTATGAAATGAATCATTTCAATACTATACATTTTGGATGTTATTAACAGAATTATGTTTTTTTTACTTATTTATTTTTTTAAATTTGAAATGTCAATACCCTTCAGTACGTTAATTTAACCAGAATTTGTTTTATCAGTACAAACAATATACTTTATAATCAATACACTTTATAATCAATAAAAACTATTTTAAAAAAAAATTACAAAAAATTCGAGGGTATTCATTGAATTTCGAAACAGAATTTTGATGTCAGTTATCTATATAAAATTTTTCTGCACTATAGGGAAAAGGAGAAGGAAGTATTTTTTCGCTTAATTTCAGCTTATAAATGATGCGTCTTTGGAAATAGCAATTATACGAGTTTTAATTAATTTTGATGAATTATTTGCAAATTTAAAAAAAAATTAACATTTTAATCCAATTACATTCATTCTTTTTTCTTCGTGGGCTGCACTTGAATATGTTCTAAATTAGACATCACTTGAATAGAGTCTGGGTGCTGTGTTCACTCTGCAGTGCCAGTATGAATAAATGACTGGATTTTAAATATTTATAATTTCAGAACTGTTGTATACATTACGATAAATAGCACACTAATTAAAGTCATATGTGTTTAAAGTGTAATTTGTAATATAATTAGCTTCACTCATTTTGTGGCTTCACGCTATCAATTGTTTCTCATCTTGCACAAATGCGTTAACTTCTTGCAGTCTTTACAGTAGTGGTGGTTTATATACAGTGTCTCGTACATTCATCTCGTGGTTCATATACAGTATATCGGTGGCTCTTATACATAGTTTTGAAAGTATAAATATTAAGGCTTATATAAGGGAAAGATTCTCCGTATACAAACAAGTCCGTCTCTCTTGTTTTGGGTATCGAGGGTAATATCTAAGTTTGCTATATTAAAGCGTGCAATCTGTCTGGCTGTTTACTTTCAATTTAAATGAAAATTTTTCATTAATTACATTTTTACTGCATCAACAAACACATCAATATTTTTATTTAAAAATAAATGTATGGCATGCACTCGTAACATATAACAGACATTTATTTTTCTAGCATCTTGTTTCTATTATGGTTTTGCATCTCTCTCGGCTACTACTTCAAACTGCTCGACAGGCAAAACATTTGGGAAGAAATTATTATTGCAAATCACTTAGCGAAAATTTTGTGCTAGATTAATTTTAAAGATTAAATCGTTCTATTTACAGTAATATTGGTAGAAAGACAAAAATAATTATAATTCTGTGCGTCATTATTTGCGTAGTTCAAAGAAGTCATTAGAAAATGACCGCAACCTTAGCTTATGTAGATAAAAAACTGTCGAAGTGTTTGGACGAACAATATTCATCTTGAATAGGATTCCTGTTTTCATTGTGAGCATTTTTATGTTCAGCGGACTTCCTTTTTTTTCCTTAATAAATAAAAGTTCCTTTGAAATTTCTTTTAAAAGTAATTTTTTAAACTTAGTGCATCAATAAGGTTTGAAATTGCATTCTTCTGACAATCAGCGATTTTCAGTCTATTAACTAAATTCTCTTTAAACTAATTTCTTTTATAATCTTTTTAATCTTAAAAATATACTATTTTCTGGTATTTATACTATTAAAATTGTACTGTTTTGAAAAGATCGAGCAGAATTGGAAAGAAAGCAAATGCTTTTTATTTTGAAAATGTAATTAAGCGAGCTAAACGAAACGAATGGTAGACAAGATTTGCACAAAAGTCACTGCCCTAAGCAATTGGTTGTAAATTTTTTTTTTTACGTTTCTTGAATATTTTGAGATCAAAGTTAAAATCATTCGATAGATTTCAAAACACCAAATTTTTCTTACTTATAGCATTGAATTATGTTGGTATAGACTTCTCTCTAATTTCAGTCATGAAAAATACTAACTTTTCCTTGCTTTGAATATTAAAACTTATTTAAAAAGTTTTCAATTCGATTGATAAAATTTTTAATGCATTTTTTTTTTGGAAACACAAAATGCACGAGAAACTGAACATTAGATTTGTTGAAGCATTCTCTGTAATTGCTTTCACATATAGATGTAAAAAATTCTCTAACTAAATTTATTTAAATTTTTACACTTCCTAAAATTTCTTATGAAACAAGGTCAAAAGCATAAGTAATTCGAATTTTTTTTAATGACAATAACAGTTTGTTGAACAGTAGAACTAAAGATCCTACTTGCTTCCCTTAAATAAAAATTAAATTTTTTAGACATAAGTGTCAGATGCAAAAAAGATATTTATGATTAATTAAAAAATAGTTTCTATGTATTTATTTATGAAAGAAAGAGTAATTTTCATACTTAGCTTGCTAATTTAATTTTGAGATGTTTATTTTATTATTGAAATTCAAATGAAACATTCCATTGAGCATGGTGTATGATAATTCAAAAAAGATACTTCAATTTCCTCTAACCACGTAACATTTATTTTTCCAATAACAAATATGAAAAAAAATATTCACGCTTCTCTTTAAACTTTGAAATACTAATTTTATCATTTAATATTAAGCTCAATCATAGTGCATAAAAATCAGATGAAAATAGTTATCAACACCTATTTTCCTAATAACAAATAAATAAAAAACTCATGATTGTTCATTTTTTAACATTTTATTTAGTATTTTTTCTTTCCCTTTTTTTGTATACATACGTAAAACATTTAAAAATGGTTTTTGATTTATTATCTTATTAGTGCAGACCAATAATCCAAAAAGAAATACCACTTATAAAAAATGAACTGTTAATATTTTTCAACAACTTAACTCTAAAACTTGTTGATGAATTTATTTCATTCATACATCAACATAGTTTTGATAATAAAAAATAAACTAACAAGATGAAGCATTTCTTTAATCAAGGAGTTTAAAAAAGTTAAAATATAGATATATGTCTGAATAATATATACACAACAACTATTTCGAAACAAAATAGACCAAATATGCTTTAGCAACCAAAGAGTTCAAATTGAGTTATGTTTTCAATATATTCTAATATTTAAACTATTATTTTTAAATATTTTTATTTCGTTTGGTAAAATTCTATATTTTTTGCTTTACTTTTAATTTTACAAAATAATAATGAGGCCCAATTTATTGTTCATTACATATATTATGGAAATTTCTTGTTAATATAAAACAAAAAGTTACTTTATTTTTAGTACAGAATTTTAGTTATAAATTGATGACCTAATTAAGTACACAAATCTGTGTATGTTCTCCTCTTTTAAAAATGCATGGTAGCACAAATTCAAAGAATATATTATTCTATTCTATCTAGCATTATTCGAGAGTAGCCATCTTGCCGATAATGTTTTAGTCGGCAAGATTATAGTTATTTCACTTTCATATATACATTAGAGGAAAAAAAATTAATGAAATTTTTGTCCATTATTTATAATTTTAGCGTACAGTTCAGAATAGT